AGCCTTGGAAGATTTTTAATATAGAAATAAGAGTTGTTCCAAGACTTTAAAGTCAGACATTACTATACCTCTAGAGCAAGAGCCGTTTTGTCGTAGGCACAAGGCACTCGTTTCTGGATGGCCTTTGCGATGACTGGGCCATTCTGCATGGAGGGCAGGGGTGTGATGACCGCGCCTGGCGTGCCCGGCGAAGACGTTTGGGGTTGAGCGTAGGCGTGGGCAGGCTCTGGGATCCCATAGCTGTTGGAGTTACGAGATCCGTGGGTAGGCTGGCCGGGATGGGGAGGCGGTCGCACCAATTTCTCCACGTACGGGACGGGGATCATCCCGACGCGGCCCTCTCGGTTTTTGGCGCTCCACCACTGTTCCTCCGGCTTATCGAGGATGATGAGAACTTCCCCCTTTTTGAACGGGAGGTCTTCTGCGTCGCTTCCTGTGAAGTCATATAATGTCCGCACGTACTCCTGGTTCTCCTCAGGACCAACCATGGTCTGGATGGCGCCGGTGATCGTGCTTGGGTACCTTGGCAAGACAACGCAGTCAAAAAGAGATGCCAATTAGTCACTAGGATGTCTTTGTGCATTTAGGGCTAATAACTTTTTTTTTTTAATTGTTTAAAAAAAGATAAGTAAACATTCCTTCAAAGGAATTTTGGCATTATAGCACAGTAACACCTTCCCTATGTGCTGCTACAGTTTTATTCCCAAGACTTTCAAGATCAACTAGGGCATTTTGAAATGTATCCAAACAACATTTTTCTGACTTTATTCAGAATAAGTCGACAGAGTACTGCCCCTCCTGAACGTGTTGCTGTGTACTGTCTGTCAGCTGGCTGAAAGAAGCCTGCTACATGCCTTCCCCACTTACAAAAGAATGCATTCACAATTAACTAGCTTATACCTGTAAAGTTGACCATATTCAATATCAGCCACAATGGATCTTAGCTCAAGATTACTCCACATAATGTGTTTTTTTTTTTTTAGTGCATTTCTAATTGAAAACTTAGAAAATAAACAAAAGCCCAATACCACAGAGCTGCTCCTCCCCAACCTGTTGTTGTGCACTGCCATAGGCATGGTGTGAAAACTAAAGGCGTGTAACACCCATCAATCTTAAGGCAGCTTTTACATTTTGTAGCTGCTGCTTTTCTCCCTTGGACATATAAATGTAGTAGATGCATTTTTGTGTAAATATTTTTGACTCAATGTCACCATACTTACCCAGGTCTAGTTGAATGGAGCTGGATTTGAAGTTACACAAACAAACATTGCACTGGCTTAAAATAAAAACTTGTTTTAACGTGAAGTCCAAAATAAATTGAAATCAGTCTCCTAGGAGATGTTTACTTCCATCAAAGGTGTCTTTGTGAAGCAGAACGCTCAAGTCAAACAGTAGTCGGAATGATTCCAATGCAAATTAAGCAAACTCTGCTTTATGACACAGCTCCCTGAAAGTAGGCTGCTTGTTATATAAACTAACTGTCTGGTTAATAGTTAGTAAAGGAGGTATTGCGTGACTTCCTTACCTGGGGGCAGGCTCTATTAGCGTAGTCGTATCCAGATAGTGGATTTTGTAGAACTCCAGGAGAGCCGGGAGGTTCTCAAACTCCTGATCGCCTATCTTAAACTTCTTGCTGGGTAATGAGTTAATGATATAGTGAGACACTTTGGAGTTTTCAGACACCGACAGGACATAGTCGCCGGGACAGGTAGACGAGTCTCGAACCAAAAACATGCCATGCCTCTGTCCTTGTAACCTGTTCTGTGCCTCCTGTCGGGAAACGGGTCCAAAATACCAGGCGGACCGATCACACGAGTCAAACCGAGCCGATGACATGTCTGCTCCCCAAAAAATAAGTTAGTAGATGTATATAAATGAAGAAATTTACTGATAAGAGTTCAGCGTTGATCCAAAGTGAATGATTCAGTAGGTGCAGGGCAGGGCATTCGTCGCCCCTGTGCGGTTTTCGAGTAATTTCTGCAGAACCACTGAAGGTTTCTTCGACCTGATTAAAACAAAATTAACAAAAAATGATTAAAAAAAAACAGCCTGTGGTTCTTTAGGGACAGGTTAAGACTGACTTGATCCAACTTTGGACCATATTGGCTCAGCTTTGAGTGGCTGAGAATCGAGAAAATGATTAACTTACGAAAGAAAAACGCCGAGGAAGGCCGAAGCAAGAAATGATCAATTAAGCTTCCTCCTTTTCGTTCCGCCTTCCGAGAAAAAAAAAAAAACACCAGGCTTCAAATAATTATCTCCTCCGGTCAGTGTCAGTTAATATAAAAGCGGAAAAGGTGGTCTCAGTTTTCCAACTGAGAAATCATCATAGCTGTGAATAAAAAAGGCCAACAATTAGCCGCAGGTGGGAAAACACAGATAGTTACTTTATATCCTCTCGACTTAACGGTAAGGCACGGAAACAGGTCTGTGAGTTCCCTCTCTCGGGTTCGAGCAGACTTCAGAGGCAGCGCAAGAAAAAAATGGCGGCCCGCAACACGTCTTCACACAAAAAGTGACTTCAGAGCAGCCGTCTGTCCGCTGCTGGTGCATCTCAGGAGCTGCACTCCCTTACCGCAAGCGAAGTATCCCGACCAGACGAGTATTTGTCCTGAACTTGCCGTTGTTTTTTATTTTATCCTCCGCTCGCTCGAGAAACCAGAAGTGCGAGTGTAAGAGAAAAAAAATGGCGACGGGAGGGCTGGTCCCGCTTTCTATCAGCACGTCACTCGATGACTGGAGGGGGAGGCGGGCGGAGGAAGTGAGGACTGGCTGAGAAAATGGGGGGTGGGCAGCTGGGTGACTGAGCACGGGTGGGGGTGGGGATACGTTCATGGATACGGCTTCATGTTACTCTAATTTCCAAAATGCTGCATTGAAAAATGAAATAGCCTGAAAAGTGTTATAATCGCAAGCTGCTATATCACTCACCAATGCATAACAAGAGTGTGCAAATTCCAGGCTAGCCTCTAAAAGCAGCTTCTTTTGTATTTTTTTTTTATTCCTTTATTTAACCAGGTAAACCCCATTGAGATCTAGATCTCATTTTCAAGGGGGACCTGGGCAGAAGTCTGCAGTACATAGCAACCTGGTTACAAAACAAAATTGATTAATACATATACACAATTATAAAACAGAATAAAACAATTTAAAAACAGTGACACTGTTTAAAAGATTTATGTCTTTTATTTTAAATGCTATCAACTAAAATTGTAAGCTGACAACAGTAGCATTAAAAAAACATTACAAGAACAATAACATAAAAATGCTGATAATAAATCATTAAAAAGTCGAAGTAAAACACAGTTCATGTGTCCAAAAAAATACTTTTTCCGGACACTGATTTAACATTTCTAGTGGATGAAATACACTGAAATAAACGAAGGTGCAATCAGGATCAAATTAAACACAGCATCTGCATGAAATAAAGCTGTACAAATTAGTTGGAAAAATTTTAAGGAAAGGCATGTCCAAATGAGATAAAAGTATTTCTTTTCAATTTATAAATCATAAATAAACTGATAAGCTATGTGATGTGATTTGTTTGAATGCAATCCAGCTGGAAGGTAAACCTGGGCTCCAATCTGTATGCTTTGTCACCCTTTAACAAGTTAAGTTTGGCTTTACCTCCTTCCAGCTTCCCCTGGCCATTTCCTTCCTGCAGTTCCGCTTGATTTTCTTCCCGGAGCAAATCCCAGTGCTCCGTCTGGGATTTGCTTCATTGAGCTGCGTTTTTCAGGATGCAGTTTTAAAATGAGATCCAATCCTTTACAACTTCAGTGGCTTGTCCACGCCTTCAGCAAGCAATCATTTCTCAATAGCCGAGAATGCCGGCCCTCTTTATGAAGCCAACAAGGGGCTGTGTCTTTTACCAAGCTAGCTTCCCCAACCCTAACCAACTTCCATGTGCTTTCTGAGAAAAAGTTCCCCCATACTATGATGCTGCCACCATTGTGTGTCACCATAACCACGTGCTTTCAAGGTGGTGTGCTGTGTACATTTTCCACCATGTACAGCATTTTGCATCTTGGCCAAAAAGTTACATTTTGCTTCATGGTCTGTTGAAAACTGCAAATGGGATTTCTCATGGCTTTTCTTTAACACAAATATTTTTCTTGCTACTTCCAGTCATTCTATGTTGGAATCCCAACCCGGGCTTTATCCGCATGGCATTTGTATGTTCTCACTGCATACATACTCAGCTTCCTTCCGCAGTTCAAATAGGTAGCTGCTAAGCAAATTAGTTTATCTAAAATTGTCCTTAGATGCGAGTTGCGTGTGTGCATGTTTCTATGTCCTGTTTGTCTGTCGCACTGCTATGGACTGGTGGACTTGTCGGGTTCTCAAAAAGCAAAACATAATCTTGTGGCACTCTGCTAGAGAAAAGAAACAGATCCAGAGATATTTGGAGAAACTCTAATCGTTAACTTGAGACTCAAGGGTAACAAAAAAAAAGCAAAAACTTTGTACAACAAAACAAAACAATACATGTTCAGAAAATAGGAGAATTGGATAAACCAAGGCACACGAGAGAAGCAGGAAGTAAAAGTGCTGAGGAAGGAGATTACTGAGTGAGGACAATTATACTGATCATAAATGAAAGACTAGTGTGACGAGGGGGGCGGGGGTTGGGGAGCTACTGACAACGTATGTGGCAAGGTTGCAAGACAAAATAAATCAAACTACATAATAAATCAAAAGAAAACTAATCAGAAATAGATTAAAAATACAGAAGTATTTCTGTGATTAAAAACTAATTCCTCCTATTTTATGCAGCCGTATCTGAATGAAACCAGGATTATGCTTTACTATAACCCAGACTGCCACATTTAGCAGAAACATGCCATGAATTGCAACCACAACATGACTGAGGAGAGCATATGTCCACAATAGATGCTGCTGATTATAGTGGTGATTCTTTGTGATAAATCGTGACATTAGCTGACCTCACTTCCCAACCGTAAAGCGTACAGTAGGTTTTTGCAGTAAACTCTTTCATGCCACAAGTAAAACATCTTTACATAATTCCTTATTTTCATTTCCTGTTGCTCTCCAACTTCCCCTTCCATTTAATCTCATAATGTGAATTCTTTGGCACAGAACTACGACACATCGATTTGGAGCTACTTCTCTACCGCAGGGTGCTGAAAGGGTGGGAGTCTATTTAAATTCACAGGGCAGTGCCTTGGGGAAAAAGCCTTGATAAAATGCAACATGGATAAAATGATGCATCAGACAAAAAAATTGGTTGAGTGTGACAAGATATTTAGTGCACAGAGAAGCTACTGCTGCCTAGTGATAAAAACAAAGCAGTAGCCCTGTGCTTCTGGTTTTAGTGGTCATGTCTCATGAGACTAGAGGTGGCACAGAGCAGCTCCCACCCCTGGAACACTGTCTGAATGTTAATAGTTCTGTACCCACTGTGTCTTAACTGCTAATGTCTGCCAATTCCCACATTCTAACAATGAAGGGTCAAGGAAACACATTTGGGGGGAAAAAAAAAGCTTCATAGTCTTTAGAAATGTGATTATGGATAAAAATAGTTTTGTTTTTTTTGCTAGTTTGGGTTCCAATATTTGAGGTAACTTATTACAATGCTGTGACAAATACTAGTAAAGTTTTTTTTTAAGGAGTCACAAGGACAGATTTAAAGATCAAATTAAACATTTTTGAGGAACATATGCGTATTACTCTACCGAGGCAGTGGTCACTGAAGATTCATTCGAAAAACAACACCATCTAGTGGAGGATTATCTGATAAGAGGTTAATCTATTACTAAAATTTCATATTTTATTTCCTTACACCGACAGGCTTGAATTTTCCATTTTGGAGACAATGAAGGCTTTCTCTATTCTAAGCTTGGCAATACTATTGGGTTTATTCATGAAACATAGATTGTTAATGTGCAGCTGTGCTATGAAAAGTTATACAAACAGATTTGTATTATGCATGGCTCTACAGGTTTGGGTACCTACCAAACGATTAAAGTTTTGCTTATTTGGAAAACATTAAACTCAAGCGTCATTAAGCAGAAATTTCCAGTTGAATTTATTTAGGTACTTTAGCTCATTCTAACACATTCAAAGTTAGAATATGGTTTTATAGCCTAGCACCACTATGCACTTCTTTACAACCTTAACTCTGGCCTGTTCGGTATGTTCCTATGTTCCTGCTATCTGCAGGTGACGCCATTAGCTTGGCAGGATGATTTCAGCTGTGCTAACAGTCACACCTTCTCATTAAAAACACCTAAGATGACTGCGTCACTTACTAGCTGAAAAATAAGTGAGCTTTATGGCAGCACTGAGGAGAGAGTGGAGGATGTATTGTAGAAGGTGTGCAGAAAGATATCACTGATGTGAGCTGATAATGAGGTATCACCCTAAGATAAACTATAGTCATATTTATTGTATGTATACGATGTGGTATGGAAAGTTCTAGATGCATTCTTAGAGCGGTGCAACCGTCGTTATGTTGCTTGAGCAGAGGAAAATTCTTAAGAGATGCAATCTGCTTTATTATAATAAATAGCGAAAGGCCTTGAGAAATATGTCAGGTCACACTTTCAGTCTCGTACTCAGCTCTCTGGGTCGGTGCTGCTTATCAGAAGCAATCCCAAACCCGGTGACTGTCTAACAAATGAACACAGGTATTGGACCTGAGTCATTTGATAATGAGCAGATGTTTTTGGACTTCTAAGGAAGAAGTGCGGCTGATTCAACTTGGAAACTGTTTGTCACACAAGAAGTTTTTAACACTCCCCATGTTACTGTATAATTCTTTTATGGATCTCATTACTTTCATCGACTTGTCAGTAAGATTTTAAACGTCTGATCAAGGCTTCACGACAAAGCTTTGATTAGACGTTCAGATAATCCAAAGTTCCTAAACTGGATTGTCTGTTCTAATTTCCAAAAAAAAAATGTTTTAACAAACTTGGATTTCTTCTGGATTCTACAAATCACGAACTGTGCATAAACTAAGACGTAAGGAACTTAAATATTGTATGCCTTCTTTCTTTTTTCATTCTCTCTTATTTTAGCTTGTATCCCCATGTTTTAGTTTTCTCTTGCTGTGTTGCTAATTTTGCACTTTTTGACACAAATGAACTTGATTGATTGATAGACATATTGATGGAAACATTCGTTGACATTGACTACAGCAGACCTGTATTTAGAGATGGGGTTTCTTCTTTCTTAATACTGCCCCATTGTTTCAAAACACAGGGTTTTCAGCGTGCAGCTAAATAATTCCATTTAAAGTCCGCATGACCTTCAGCACTACACCGTTAATGTCAGTGTGTGTAAAGGTCCAGTGATTAGGTGTCAGGTTGGAGAATAGGATTGGGTCACAGACTTATTTACCTACTTATACGTTCACATGTTAAAGCTTGAAAAGCTGTGCTCCATTTATAGGAGGTCCTGCTGTACAAACTGTTGGTTCACTGTGGTGGTGGTTTACTGTGAAGAGCAAACGCCAATAAGGATACCAAGAGATAGGTTTGCAAAGTTACATAAAAATAATATTTCAGTTTAATAGAATATTTCTTATGGCTTAGTATTTGTTTTTAATAAGTCTTTAATAAAGATGCGTTGGTGACCAAGGAAAACATCCGGACTTTGGTCTTTCTTGCCAGTCAGCGGAAACCCCGATGGATGTGGAGTTGCTGAATTGACAAGAGCCTGTTCTGTCTGTCTGCAGCGCTGGAATCGAGGT